TTATTTGCAATTTCAAAAGGGTGGAGTTTATTTACGTAACGGTATTTTTTGTTTTTATATTATACGATAACGTTGCCAATTATAAACTAGAAAAAAGTAGAAAAGAAATTTTAAACTGAATTTTATAAACATTTTTATGCAAACGTCAGAGTGTATGATAGTTCCTAGTTTTGTCATAATTGAAAATGGCATATTTTTTTAAAAAAATTTCTTACGCGATATCCAAATCTGAATAGTTATGGACGATTGTTTTTGTAATGAACAAAATTTACATTAATTTAGTATTTTTATTGTGTCATACACTTTGTTTCTAATCTAATTTTATGAATACTTACTTATATTACAAATGTAAAAGCGAGTTCGTTACTTAAATACCTTACCAATCGTACTTACATTACTTTGTTGTCTTATCGCCATAAAGACTTAACCAATCACTATAAAATTTGGTATACACTTTATGGGATGGAGAATGATATAGGCTACTTTTTATCCTGACCAGTAACCATATCCTGGTTACACGAACAAAGTCGCGGGTAAAAGTATGTAAAAAAAAATGTATTTTTTTTTATCTTACATACATAACTAATGCACGTAATATTTTATTAATGAAATCTAACTATCAAAATAGATATTTATTCTTAAATGGATTAATTGAATAAAGTTGAAACAATTGTCGGAAACTACAAACATAGTAAGTTTATAGTAAACATAGTAAATTAAACCCTTTAAAAAAATGTACTTTATTATGCCCATAGTACTATTCATGTTTACAGGCGACGGTTACCACCTTCCATCAGGTGGGCCATCAGCTCGTTTGCAATTCTTAGCTGCATAAAAAAAAAACTTTTATGAAAGACCTACTTTACTCGAACCTATCGCCGAAATGATCAACATTATCCAGATAAATGGGATAAAAAAGAATATTAGTAGCTTTTGTTAAAATACAATACAATACAAATTAACTAAATAAAGTATTACCTAACATAGATGCCGGATTTCCCATTAAGATCCCAGTATAGCGTCCAACAATCTTTTCTGAGCAAGAAATGAAAACACTTCAATTCCACCTTATATTTACACAAGTAAAAGCAACGAAAAACAAGTGGCTTTCACTGTATCCATATAGGAAATTTGACCTTTTCAAGTCTTTCAGATTTCCCCCTGTTGTTTACCATTTGTTTTCTCTTTTGTTGATATTTGGGCACTTTGTATGACGAAGTTTACCAAATGAAATATCTACGGATTTATTATTATTTATATTAGATTTTGCCGTGTAGTTCCGGCATAGAATGGGTCACCCCTTCCCTTCCCGTTTGTGTCGAAAGAGGCGACTAAGGGAACTTAATAGTCTAAGGATGAATAGCAGCGATCTTTTTAAAACATCACCAAAGCCTAACTGCAGTTGTTAACCTATCCGGAAAACGTAGCAACTACTGGCAAAACCCTCTTTATAAGAGAAGCCAGTCAACAGCTGATATGGTGATGATGATGATAATGATATTGGATTTATTCACGTATTTAATTTCTGTATTAAATACACGACAATACCACGCCACCTTTACCACCGCCGCCAACCACACGCGTGCGACAAACAGCATGCTGATCGCGCAGTGCTGCTCGCGACGCAGTCATGAATCGCGCTCATGAATAAGGGCTCCTATTGAGATTGAAACTAGTCAGACAGTCGTTGTTGTAATATATTATTACAATAGTCAAGTGCCTACTAAATTTTATTACCTAAGTACCTTTTCTCGAGGAGGGGGAAAAGGGATTGTTAGTAATGAAGACTGAGAATCCCATTGCTAGCAATATACCCAACCAGGTCGACCTCCTCGCGGTTCCCCCTGGAAACTATCATGGTTAATTCCTGATGACTTCGTCATGATGGGCTAACTGGCCTGTTTTTATTCTCATCTATCACCCTTCACTGGTGCTCCGTCAGCGTATCCCGTTAGCGCAGGCGGGGTTACCACACCATTTTCACCCATCAAAAAAAAAGTACCTTTTCTGTTCTTTATCATATAAGTTTTCTAAAATTTTAATGCATTTTTTATTAACTAAAGCTAATTATCGTTTTTCTTTTATAATTAATGAAAATTCTTTATTGTTCCTTTTAAAAAAAATATACAGATTACATTACAATATACAAAAGTTACCGTATGGTCCCAGAATAGAATGGGCCACTCCATCCTTCCCCGTGGGTATTGTAATAGACGACTAAGTATTTTTAATGGTACAGAGACGGGCAGCAGCGTCAACATCACCAAAAGCCAAACTGCAGATGCCAATCCGCCTGCCAAGCGTGGCAACTACTGGTGAAATCCCCCAATAGTGAACTACCATAAGGAATCGTCACATTCCTTATACATGATAAAGATAACGATAATTATAATGTACTTAAAAAAAAAACATAATTACATGAAACAAGATAAAAATCTATACTACAATACATTAAAGTAAACATTACAATAATTAATTATACAGAACGTTTACAATAATTTCTCATACATACGCCCATAAAACGCACGCGCTGCCCGAGTCTCATTAAACAAAGCTTTCGCCGTTTCATTTTACTGAATCGTAACGTTCATAAAACTTTCATATGTGAATATTTTATATCGGCTATAAAATAAAGGCCGTCGCAAACACATCTAATTTAAAATTGAAGCGTCTACATACATACCGCGGAGCGACCTAAAGTTTTATGAGTTATATCGTTAACTCTGTCAATCCGAGCATTAAACATGGGTTGTGTGGTTACTAATGTTTGTTTTACAGATTAATAACTTTATATATATATATATATATATATATAGTAATTGTTTTAACATTAGGGGGGTAATTCAAGTGGCTCTGGACCGTCCTTTATAGCAGTCCAGGGTGAAGGTCTACGTTCAGCAGTGGACGAATATAGTCAATAAAAAATATTGAATCATCATCATCATCATATCAGCCTTTAACTGTCCGCTGCTGAACATAAGCCTCCCCCTTGGGGAGCCAATAGTTGGGTTTTGCCGATAGTTGTCACGCTTAGCAGGCGGATTGGCAACTACGGTCAGGCTTTAGAAATACTTTAAAAGGAACGCATCTGCTCATCCCTCGCCCTCTCTTAGTTGGCGCTTGCGATACCCACGAGAAAGGAGGAGGTGGCGTATTCTATTCCGGGACCACACGGCCAAATAGTGAATACGAACGAATAAATTTTACAAAAAAAAATATATTTCAAGGAAACGGTAACTGATGCTGTTAAATGTATAGCCAAATGTATCCTTTTAAAATAAGCTATAATATGTAGCTTATATCAAGCCATTATATATCGAACGAGTAAATAACAAATAGGAGAATCCAAATTACCAAATTTCTACATATTTAGTTGAATTTTAATACTAATAATGTAACAGATTTTTTTTTTACAATACAGGAGCAAACGAGTATACGGCTCACCTGATGGTAAGTGACTACAGCCGCCCATGTTCACCCACAACACCAGCGGCATTGCAGGTGTACTGCCGGCCTTTTAAAAAGGAATATGCTCTTTTCTTGAAGGCTCTAATGTCATATCGGTTTGGAATTACTGCTGCTAAAGAGTGGTTGTGCGTGGAAGAAGGTGCCTTAACAAACGCACGGTGGAAGACCGCCACTCGTCCAGATGGTTGGGATGAAATTATGTTTACAACTATAGCAAAGTTTATCAAACCTCTCTTAAACAATTTATCTAGGATGACACTCATTAGTAGTTTCATTTAATTTTGAATTTTCTACGTGAAAACATACTTCAAAAAACGTTTACTAAAGTTTGGGTTTAATTAAAAATATTAACCAATTAAATAATTAGCATTTGTTACGTAAATAGAGTGACTTCGACACTGTCTAAGGGTCATAAACCGAAATGGTATTATCCTAGCTTTATGACTCAATCTAAGATAAGAAGGCGCGAACGAATGGTTTCTAAACTGCCGTCTTTGTTGTATTGTCACATTCGGTGTTGACAATGTCACAAACATACGTCATATCGCAAATATATGGCATTATTTATTTAAAGTTCGCTTCGGTTTTACATATACTGATACTCTAGTTTAGTTGTTCGCGTCCGTGTATCCTAATTTTAAGTTAAACTATCATTGAGATGCGACTTATTTATGTCACTACGAGACACATGGCGAAAGTATATTTTTTAGTACTTTATTTTATGTTTTTTTTTCTTTTAATTATGTAAATCATTAATTAAGTGGTAAGAATATTGAAAACGTGTATTATAGATAAAAAAGAAGTGGTAAGAATTTTGAAAACGTATATTATAGACGTAAACGTGTATTTATCTGTCAATCAGGTTGGATTAAAGAGATAAATCTCCCTAGCTTTAGCTTTATAATAATTAAAAATTTTGAAGCAAAATATGTAAAAACACATGTATACAATTTAGAGTGTATTAAATACGTGAAATTCTTTATTCATAGTCGCTTACTAAAAAAAAAAACGATATTTTTGTTATATTTTTACTCACAAATTAAAATACTTATCTATAAATATTAAATAAGCGTAACCAGTGCTTTATAATAATTCCTTCACCATAAAGTGCCAACAGACAGAAATGAAGTGTATTTTTATTTCATAATTTAACTTTAATATTATCATAGAAATAGTTCTACAATATATTAGCAGTACTTCGATTTGAGAGATATTTATAACTGATACGTTAACGTTAACGCATACGAAATTTTTAATATAGTAATTCTATTACTGCAGTAGGTACATTACTCACCAATTGTAATGTGCTAGTGAATAGATGCGAAACCGTTAAAATCGCTGCTCAATCGTAACAAAAACGCTGTGTGCTCGCTGCGTTTTAGCTGAGAGTCGACTGCGTTTTAGCTGCGTGCCCGCTGCGTTTTAGCTGCGTGCCCGCTGCGTTTTAGCTGCGTGCCTACTGCGTTTTTGCTACGTATCCGCTGCGTTTTTAGCGGATTCGAGCGGGGAAATAGTGCGCAAGTGATGCTTACTGTAAAATAGCTCACCGTTGCCCGCCCTGGGCGCGGGGAGGGCGGGCGTCGCTAGCGCTAGCAGCGCGATCGCCCACCACCATGTCATCACAACCACACCTGTGGACAAAATTACACATCTTTTATTACAAGGTTTCTCTATTCTAATTCAATAGAACTTAATGAAAATGTAAACAATCAAATTTTACACGACTGATTAAAAAGACAGTTTGATGATGTCCTGTATTAGTATACACAGAATAACGATTAATTGGTGTTTAAATTTTTTATCTGTGTGACTAGAATATGTAAGATCAAGAATAAGTATATAAGAAGAAGTTTCAAAGAAATAGATGAAAGAAATAGGAGAAAAAGAGATGGAAGAGATGAAAAATAGTCATTATATGATGCGTAGGGAAGAAGGTCATGTAGTAAGAAAGAGGTTACATACAAATATGAATGATTGTTAATGCAGAGGATGACCCAAAAAGAGATGGATGGACTGTGTGAAAGATAGCATGGCCAGAAAGGGAGTAATTAGTGAGATGACCGCAAATAGAGATGAATATAACGACAATCCCAAATAGATATGGAAAAAGAAAATGTTTGACTGATAATTTTAACAAAACTTGGTTACTCACTCTTAAATTCTAATGAAAAACTTTATACATAGTCGATGACTGACTTTTTTATGTAACTTGTAACAAGTAATTAATTATAAAGAGAGATAGAAAGAGTAATTACAAGCAAGCTAATGACCTATTTGATGAAAACAGATAACCATCGCTTAAAAAATAAATAAAAACAACGAATTACAAATTATATAATAAATAATTGTATTTATAACATATATACATGAATTTACAGGGTACAGAGGAATAACACCTGAGTCCTCAGGAATGGCAACGCATGAGGGGAATCATAGGCGAAACAGTGTACTCTGTTATGTCCATGGTACTGCTCATGTCTATAGGCGACGGTTACCACTTTCCATCAGGTGGGCCGTCAGCTTGTTTGCCATTCTAAGTTGTATAAAAAAATATATAATATATAACACTGAATTACAATTGATCATTTCATGTACCATACGAAATGCAATACTTATTATTTCTGACAACTTTAGAAATAATAATAAAGAAATAATATCCAGATCTACCGTCTCAAATAGTTTTCTCTAGAGAACGTCGCACTTAGCGGAGTAAAAATCTTAAAATTTCATACCACTTCTCTCTTAGTAATACGTGACTAAGCGACAACTGTACAGAGCTAATATTTTGTATGAATATTAGAAATACTCTCTGTATTAGATTCATTTAACTGGCATATATTTTTTATACTACTAAGGTGGTAAATGAAGATGCTGCCTATCTGTTGATAAACAGTTACCCTAGCCTATAGTGCCTAATACACCAAGGGTATCATGTGCATATTGCCCACCTTAAAGAAACCTTACACTCTTTTTGAAGGATCCTATATTGCAATCTCTACATATTCTTATAGGCATCGTCATTTTTATTCTAATCAGATGACTTATTCTTATTATCGCATATTTGGAGTTTAAAGTGCGTTCATAACTAAGTGTGACAATTATCGGCCAATTTTTAAAAACAGTGGGTTTTTATAGAAATTTTCTCATGCGAATGCATGCGACAGGCTGAATGAACTCAGATTTCCCCTATAGATGACAGTATGTTTTTTTTTTAAAAAAAGGGCATATTAAAGTTCTTTCAGGGTCGACAACGCGTTCATTATTCAGGTGTTCATAAGCTACAGTAACTTGTTTGCCGCTTTGGTGGTATAAAACAAAATTGAAAAATTTTCAATATTTTTAAAACGTTATTCATACGACAATATTTTTATTAAGCTATCACTGAAAACTTGAACATTGATGTCAAAAATGTATTTGAAAAATTATGAAGCAAAATATTTTTTTATACGACTTACTACAAACAAGCTGACCTGATGGAAAGTGGTTACCGTCGCCTATAGACATGAGCAGTACCATGGACATAACAGAGTATACGGTTTCGCCCATGATACCCCCTATGCGTTGCCATCCCTGCCATACCCAAGCAATCGACTTTTGTACAAAGTCTCCCTCTAGTTATGTTTCTCAATTACATCATCAATTCCGAACCGATTTTAATATAAGTTCGAGCACGTCGAAGGGACTTTTTCTATGTCACGTTGAGAATAATTCAGCTAACAAAACAGGCTCCTCTTCCACTGGCATTGACTCTGATCAACATTGTCATGAACCAGTATCCGGACTTGGATATATTAACTTGTCAACTTGTCGAGTTTCGTAAAATGACAATAAATCATTTGGAAAGTGTCCAGTAATTAAATTTTATTATGTTTTATATATTGTGATCGCTAAGGGAGCGAATTGGGAAACTGTCATTCTCTCTTAATTGGTAAATATAGTAAATAAATATATTTATAACAGGTAGTATCTGCTACTCGTAATTTATATTACTCGTAATTTTGTAACGGTTGACACACCCATTTTATGCCAAGCAAAATCATTTACTGTTTCGAAATAAAATCTACTTCTAAATACATGGCGGTCAAAATTCATAGTATATGTTAATAATGGCCGGAAATGTTTTGATAAATATATTTTAAAGTTACTGTTCGATGTTACCATTATTTTTCTTAATCATATTTTTTTTTAATAAGCATTTTATATATTCAATGATTTACAACAGTATCAATATTAATTCATATCTAATTGTTTTGTCACGTCTGACGATGTTATATTTTGCAGAGTAAAATGTGACTAAATAATTTGCTTTGACAAAGAAAGAAGTCACAAAATAGTAAGTTTCATATATTACTTATATCTATAAAATTATTATAAATTTCTAATTTACTAACAGATTAAATATATATACATATATATTTCTGCCCTTTTCCCATATCTATTTAGAATCAGCGTAAAATGTTTTCTTCTATTCATCTTTATTTATAGTCACTTGACTAGTCACTCCCTTTCTGGCCATGTCATTTACAATATTCTATGGTAAACAATATTTTAAAAATGTATCAAATAAATGATAAATTGCACCAAAGTATCGTTAAACTAATTTACAGGCCTCTAAATATTATTTTATGCAAAATAAATTAAATATGATCGCAATAAATGTTCGGTGAAGATTTATTCCCATGCATACACTTTTGCTGGCCCAATTCCGATGTGTATTAGGTCGTGAGGCTATTAAGTGGCCGATAAGCGAGAAAGCTCTCACGTAATGTCTGTAGTACACTGACCGTAATAAATTATATCATTTATACATATATTAATTAATTTTTTTTAGAAATGTATAGAAGAATTGGCATTTTTTTGTACGTGTTTATATTTCTTATCTATACTTGTAAAATCGTTTGTTCTGACTATCAAATTACAGCCAAAACTAATACATTAAAAATGTATTCAAAACTGTATAATATAGATAGAATATAATAAGCGATTACCGTCTGGTTGCAACATAGAATGAGGCACCCCTTCCTTTCCTGTGGATGTTGTAAAAGGCGACTTAGGGAGCTTAATAGTTGAGGGATGGACAGTAGCGTCCCTCTTAAAACATCACCAAAGACTAACTGCGGTTGCCAATCTGCCTGTCAAGTATTGAAGCTATCGCCAAACCCCTGAAAAAGCCTATACTCAACTGTAGATAGTACTCGTAAATAGCTGATAATATGATGGTGTATTTTAATCTACACTAATAATATAATGAGGTAAGACTTGTAAATTTGGAAGTTCGAAGGAGGTAACCCTTATGGGGAATGCCTATGTTCAGCAACGGACCATTAACAGCTGATATGGTAAGAAGCGACAAACATCTTAAAATTAAAAGCATTTGATATTATTGAAATAGAAAACTATTGCTAAATAAAATACCACAAAAGATAACCCATTAGATTATATAGATAGAGCGTCCCCATAAAAATGTTTCGAGAAAAGCGGGTCAACTTTTCCATACAATTTTTTCATTCAAGATTCCTTTTTATCATTATTTTGTCTTATAAATTCTACACCTTTTTATTGCGCATAAACTAATTTTATTTATTAAGTAATAAAATATAGATACGTCAAGATACATTGTGTGCGTAAGTATATAATACATTAATAAAAAAAACGAGTCAGCTAATCTGTAGTCATTTTATTTATTAATTAGCTGATAAAAGTTGACCCGATCGTTTGAGGCTCAATGCTCTATCTACATAATCTAAGAGGATATGTATAAGAAGATATTATGCTTGTGCGTGTGCGTGTGCGTGTGCGTGTGCGTGTGCGTGTGCGTGTGTGTGCGCGTCTGCGCGTATGTGTGTGTGTGTGTGCGCGTCTGCGCGTATGTGTGTGTGTGTGCGTGCGCGCGCGCCTGTGTGTGCGTGTGCGTGCGTGCGTGCGTGCGTGCGTGCGTGCGTGCGTGCGTGCGTGCGTGCGTGCGTGCGTGCGTGCGTGTGTGTGTGTGTGTGTGTGTGTGTGTGTGTGTGTGAATGTGAAAGCATATAAATAAAGATATCTAAACTCAATATCCGGAGCGATTTCTCATTATACATAACGTACAGTAGCGAGCAGTCTTAAACAATAAAAATGTTTCGTGACGCTATTTACAACGCGAAAATCTGCCATCACAATTTACATGCAGTATAAAATGACATTTCAGTGGAAATAAAAGTTGAAAATTGCTTCCGAACGTCTTTGCCTCGAAATTGTATTTTAGCTGTGACGGAATAAAATCTCATTTCGAAATGGATAAAGTTTGCAAACACGAAACAACTATCAAAACGTCATTACTACGAACTTTGTCTAGGAAATGCTAGCGCATGAAAGCACGAATAATCGGTTATATTTGAAAATCGTTTTGATTTAGTTGCAACTTTAGTAACTTTGTCGATTTTGCATAATCGTAGCAGAATTTTTATGAACGATTAATTCTTACTAACAAGAAGAGTTATTTATACTGTGCTAACATTATAAATATAATTAGACAATAGATAGTATTTTTTTTTGGATGATAATGGAATGGTAACCTTACCCGCGCTATCGGTATACACCGGTGGGGCACCATTGAGGGATGATAGGTGAGGATGAAGGAGGCCAGTTAGCCTCG